TGTATTAGACTATTCCTGGTATAGATGCTTATGTACTCAATGACATCCCGATTTTGGGATAGAGTGCAACACGTACTTTAAAACCTGAGGTATCGATGTCATTGGTCGAACTCCTACAATAAGTTAGCGTCGAATATATATAAACGAAAGAAGGGAGAAAGTCATACCTTAACAATAATATCGTTTGAGAAGTGATATGTTCCAGTTGTTTGGCAGTGGTTCGCCGTCCATCGTTCCGAGTTTATAAGACCCTTTTCCGACTATATCAAGGACTTGATAGGGTCCTTCCCAATTCGAGACGACACCAGATCTATAAGAACTAAAATGCTTGTTTGGAGTAGAACAGAAAGAGTGAAAATGGTTCGTTCAAAGTATGTCTTCTTCAAGTCTGGAACATATGTATATATACACTTTATGAGGCCTTTTTGATTCTTGAATGACGTGAATCTTGAGAGATTGCAAACCCAAGGGAGCTGATCATAGATTGATTCTTTCCAAGAATAAGGTCAAGTTTCTGTGGATCTTCCTTGATTTATGATCTTGACGAGCTTTTCATCCGCTAGGCATATCTCTTTGTTACTTGAGACATATCCGCTAGATCCCTTGATTTCTGTCTTCAATGATCTTTAATGAATCCTTTTGTGATCTCGTTTTTCTTTGATTTGGGATCTTCCAATAATAGCTTCTCTCAATCATTTTATAGAATCACTGATTGCTTCTTCTTCCGGATCTTCGCTGCTCCTTCCTTTTTCATCGCTAATCATTGATTCTTTTCCTTGCGTTGCTTTTAGAGCTCCCGTTAATAGATTATTTTCTTAATCTATTCTTGGCTGGTATTGCTTCTTGATTCCTTTGGTTTCTTCTTGATCCTGTATCAAATGTGATATATTATTTTTCATAATTGAAACCTATAATTAACACAAACAAATCAAAACAACAATCTTTGACTTACTCTACCAACAAAATCTGTTTAGACTATCTCACATTTTGAAATCTTCGATGATAAATTTCTAATTGGCGATGGCTCCCTTGTTGGCAATGGTAGTCTTGAGGTGTCTAACGTAAAACATCTATCATAATACAAGCGAGTATAATTTTTGTTTGATTTTCGCAGTTTTCTACCCCTTTTCTCTTTGATGTTGTAGAAGAGTGGCGTCTTGCCTTGAATAAGAATGTCACCATTACTGTAACCCACTAGTCTAAACCATTCCCCCATACGTGGTAAATGGATATCGTATTCCTTGGTCCATGTTTGGTTCTTAGGATCTTTGAGCAAGAATATACCCATTCTTGATAATTCCTTTGAGTAATAAGCTAAACATAATTTCCCATTCAAATGAGCTAACTGGCCATTCTCAAATAGTTTTTTATCATCTTCTTTAGGGCAACTAATGGTTAAGAATTCTTCATTTTCAATTTCCATTGAAATTATATGGTCTTCCTTTTTATCTCCCCTTCCAACAAACCAATATATTGCACCATCTACACATGTTGCATCAACCTTGACGGAAAACTGTTCTCGGTGTGTCATGGATCGCCATGAACTAGGAATTGGTCCACCATCGGTTAGTGTGAGAATCTCAAATCCGATCTCCAAAACTTCATGACCATAGTTGTACGTATAATTAGGACTGTGTTTGGTACCAACGAAACGGATAATCTTGTATGTATTGGTAGCAGGAATATAGCCCACATCGACACGAACTGATGGATAATTTGAATATTTATATGACTTCTAGTTGTAGGGTTGCATACCTTGTGATTGAAAATGATGAGGTTGGACGAAATGCGGAGGGAGAACTCACGGCCAACAATCTTGAAACTGAATTCTTTCTGAATCTTGTTATCACCAGCAAGATCCATGGTGGAAATAGTGATAATTCGACTAGGAGGTCTGATCCCACTCGGCCTTGAATAAGTGTGGTCAGATTCTTCAACTACAAGTGCCCGGGGACGAGTCATGGATTTCATGTTATAGAGTCTTCTGAAATGTGGACTAGAGATGGTTCTGAGCCATAGCTTTGAAACTATTTGAAGTTGGTGGACATGTTTGAGAGAAAGCCTAGAGAGTATATCGATCAAGACTTCACTAGGCAGAGCCATGATGTTGGAGCTCAGTTCCATACTAGTACTGGTGTTAGGATCCGGAACCCGGGTAGTACGGAATTTAGCCAAACAATGGTATAATGAAAATAACAAAGACAATGGAAGTTGATAACAACGGCAATTAAAGCATATAAAGAAGACACAAATTTAACGTGGTTCAGTCAAAGTGACCTACGTCCACAAGCGTAGTACAAAATTAGAGTAAACACTCTAATTAATCTCAAATACCCTAAGAGAATAACCTTACAAGATCATTACAAGATCACTCCAAAGAAAGGGTTCACACAAGTGCTTTCCAACACTAACTCTCATACAAAATACTCCTTTAATAAAGTAGAAAAGGAAGAAACAAGAAATGAAAACTCAAGTCTTGTTGGTGTGTCTAAAATGAACTAATTGCCTTCCCTTTTATAGGTAAAAAAGTCTTGGCCTCTTAGATGTAAAAGAAGAGATACAACTTGTGCAAATGATGTCCACCACATAATATAATATTTTTGGGTCCCAAAGAATATTGCCAACAAAGTCTACACTTTGTAAAGATGCTTATGCTTATGTGAGATGGATTCCATTAGCCAAAATATTGGCCATAATTACAAATCTCCGCCTTGGCCTAATTTTGGATGATATAGTAAATTTGCTCCACTTTCTCAGCAAAAGCCCCAATGGGCATATGTCAAAATTTAATGCCATCAAAATCAGACAAGTAGTCTGATACCGAAACTGTAGTTGGGCCTATAACAGTGGAGCCCAATAAAGTATACAACGAACCAGATCTGTGTGCTTTCATGATCACAAGAGCATCTTGAAAATTTTTTAAAACTCCACCTTCACTAGTGAATTTTAACCCAAGGGATTCCAAAGTGCCTAAAGATATGAGATTTTTCTTCAACGCAGGAACATATCTAACATCGGTGAGAGTTCTCACCACATCATCGTGCATTCTGACCCGAATTGTACCTTTGCCATTAACGTTACAAGTAATATTGTTACCCAGTTGGACAACTCCACCTGCAACTGAATCATATGTAGAAAACAAGTCCCTGCTAGGACACATATGATATGAACAACCGGAATCTAAAATCTACTCATTATCTAATCTGAAACTAGTTTCGGTTGCTAAAAATATAGTTCCCTCAATCTCATTATTTGCTACACTAGCTTCGACTGTGTCAGTATTTTTGTGCTCATTTTTTCTTTCTTTATGCTTTTCTTTATTTTTCAGTTTATAGCATTCAGTAATATTGTGTCCTTTTTATGACAATAGCGACACTCTAAATTATTGTATCTGGAATTGGAGTAAGATCTGCCCCTAACAAATAAGTCAACTCCCGCTTGAGTTCCACTAGCTTCCCCAGTAATATCACTATTTATCTGTTTTATTGATTTTAAGATAGATTTAATATCCTTATAAGAGATATTATCCTTTGCATAAAGTATAGTATCTCTTATATGCTTAAAAGATGGGGGTAGAGAACAAAGCAGTAACACGGCTTGATCCTCATCTTTAAATTCAGTACCTATATTACTCAAATCCATAAAATTGGAATCAAAGGTGTCAAGACGAGAGAGAATAGAGGTACTTTCACCCATACGAATTGTATAAAGTTTCTCTTCACGTAAAGTTTATTTTCCATCGTCCTCTTCATATATAAGGTTTTCAATTTTTCCCACATGCTTTTGGCTGTGGTTTCTACAGAAACTTCACGTAAAACCTCATTTGAGAGATTTAAAATGATACCTACTTTTGCCCTTTTGTCTATGACGGTAAACTCCTCATCCGTCATTTTATCCGGCTTCTTCTTCTTTCCTTGCAACGCCAAGTCTAAGCCATCCTGAATTAGGATAGCTTCCATCTTTAATTGCCACATTCCGAAGTTTTCACTTCGATCAAATTTCTCAACATAAGTCTTCGTTAAAGTCATATTGGCTACTGAAATAAATCCGGTTAGATCCGGCTCTGATACCAATTTGTTAGGATCGGGAATCCGGGTAGTGCGCAATTTAGCCAAACAATTGTATAATGACAATAACAAAGACAATGAACTAATTGTCTAACTCTCATACAAAATACTCTTAATAAAGAAGGAAAGGAAGAAACAAGAAATGAAGACTCAAGTCTTGTTGGTGTGTTTAAAATGAACTAATTGCCTTCCCTTTTATAGGTAAAAAAGTTTTGGCCTCTTAGGTATAAAAGAAGAGATACAACTTGTGCAAATGATGACCACCACATAATGCAATATTTTTGGGTCCCAAAAAATATTGCTAACAAAGTCTACATTTTACAAAGATGCTTATGCTTATGTGAGATGGACTCTATTAGCCAAAATATTGGCCATAATTACAACCGGTCATTCTTCCACTTCTCTATGATCTAGAAAGTTGAGATTTAGAGATTAAATTGATGGTCGTATAGTTATATATTCTAACGAAGAACATGGGAATACGTGTTTTCTTAATTATAAAAGTAGTTATCCTAATTGGATGCTTTATTAGCAGCCAGCACATGGGACACTAGCACTGAATAATAGTATAAGGTTTTCGGACAGATTTTTATACTAAGGGTCTTTGTACTCTTGTTTATGCCATTTCACAACAAGATTCGCTGTCATTTCTCATGTCTCAATCAATGCAGTATTTTATTTTTAATGGAAGAATCCACAATATTTTCCAAGTTAATGAACTTAATGGTAACAAAGTTAATTTATATGTTTTCGTTGCAGAAAGAAGGCAAACTCGTCAGTTTCTCATGTGAGGTCAACCTCTGTTAGCTTGAGGGGTTAAAAACACATGCTTTCTCTAATTATATGTTAAATATGTTTCGTAAGATAATACAGGGACCAAAGTCGCAATGAGGTAATAACTCCAAGACTGAAATTGCTGCTTTTGGAAGAGGAAAGAGTCTTTATATTTCTCAGGCTCTTTGTTGTAGAGGCTACACTAATTCTTTGAATGACTACCACTTATTTATTACGAAATCCGACAAGTCTACTGTTTCCTTGTTGTTTATGTAGATGACATTATCCTCATTGTGGATGATTTTATTGTTATCACCAAAATTAAAGGTTTTTTTGTTTGGATGCACAGTTTAAATTAAAAGATTTGGGGCTGATCAATGATGTTTCGGGTATAGAAGTTCACTATGACTCTTCAGAAGTGTGGTTGCATCAAAGAAGTATATTTCTGATCTCTTGACTGATTTTCATTGTTTTGATGTGTCCCATGTTATATGCCCTTTGGACTTGTCCATTAAGTTGAATCAGATATTGGTGATGTTTTACCTCGGCTTGATACTTATAGGAGTCTCATTGGTAAACTAAATTTCCTTACACACGCTCGCCCTAACTTTTGTTTTGTTGTTCAATATCTTAGCCAATACCTTCAAACACCCAGGGTACCTCATATGAATGCAGTTCTACATGTTTTGAGGTACTTGAAAGGGAATTGGGAATTTTTTAAAAATAATTTCGTTAGTTTTTCGTTGATTGGATATTGTGATGTGATTAGGTTGCCTACCCAGATTTCGTCTTTTGGTTAGTGATTTTTGTGTTACTTTGGAAATAAGTCTTATTAGTTGGAACTATAAGAAGGAGCATGTGGTTTCTTTATCCTCTGTTGAACCTGAATATAGGACAATAAGTAAGATTGCAGCTGATTTCCCATGGTTGGTTCGTTTATTATCAGGTTTGGTATTTTTTGTGCCTGGATCCGTTTCGAACTTCTGTGATAACCAACCTGTTATACATATAGTAAAGAATCCTATTTTTCTAGACATATCGAGGTTGATTGATATTTTATTTGAATCAAGCTTGATGATGGTTTAATTTCCTTAAATCTCTTGCCTACTGCGTCACAACCAGCTGATAATTTTACTAAGTTCTTGACAGGTNGAGGAGAGGGAGGAAGGGTTATTGATATGACATGATGCTGATAGAGTTTTGGGCTAGCTGTCTCTTTTGTTGTATTTTAAATGGTTTTTGGGTTCACATTTTATTTTTGCCCGGTCTTAGCCCAATATATATAAGGAACCCTAGAAGCTTCTACAGTAATTAGGCTCGGTTAGCGCTCCCTGAGGATCTGCACAAAAAGATGTACGGAAGCATAGTATGAGTACACCATAATCGATACTAAGTAATTATCAATTCTAACCTCGAATAAGTAGTGACACGACTAAATGCATTAGGATACTTGCAACACAGATATAAATAAAACAAAACTCGGGTCTGAACAATAAATAATCTCATGAACAACAATAAGATGTAAGACAGTCGAAAGATATAAAGCATGATTTTTTCGATTCAAGAGATAATCATTATGATATTTAAAGATGGCATCTTCAATCAACGGAGTCGAGGCTCCCATCTAGCACATATATGTGAAATGCAATAGTTATCATCTAATGAATGCTTCTAAATGAGTCAGGGATTTCTATGTATGCTCAAGACTCTTATCACTCCACAACCGATACAAGATTTATGTACCATAATACACAATCCATGTATCACCAAGCCCGATACAAAGTTCATGTATCACTGAAATCCTATACAAAATTCATGTATCGACCCGATACACAATTCATGTGTCGACCACGCTCACAGGGCCCAAAGTAACATTGGTTATCATCTAACTCCGGAGGGACGGATCCTTATCCAAGCGCAAAAAGGAGCTTGATAGCTCACTCATAATCAAATAGCCGTTCATCATGTCTTGTGTGTCATAATTATATTTCATTCGCACGATCTTACTTCTCATGCCACGATGTCAGTCCAAAACAAGTATCCAAATAATTCGTATGATAGGGACACATCAATCACTTGAAGGGTCTGTTTAGAGGAGAAAAAGAAATTGCAGTGAAAAGGTTAAGGACAAGGCATAGATGAATTTAAGAATGAAGTGGCTTTAGTTGCAAAACTTCAGAACCGAAACCTGGTTAGGCTTTTGGGCTTTTGCACCAATGCAACGGAACAAATTTTAGTATATGGAAATATGCCAAATAAAAGAACAGAAGCAAATACAAAGGA